ATGGGAACACAATGTCCCCAAACCGTGATAAATATCCTTTTTTTTTCCCTTATGGTGACTGCTATGAAAAAACTAATAATGCAAAAACTCTTGTATTTCGTTTGGTTTCTTATGGTTATGGTTAGGGCTGGGTGGGGGTTAAGTTTCTCATAGTTAGCGTTAGCATTTTTCCCATAGAAGTGAATGAGCGGGCCCCATAAGGCTATGTATACCTGACATGTGTGTGTGTGTGGGTGTGTGTGTGTGTGTGTGAGAGAGAGGTATATATTACAAATGTGATAAAAAACCTGTTATTTTAATGTTGTGGGGACCATTTTTTCAATCCCCATGAGGGGAAACTCAATTTTTTGATCTGTACCTGCAATCAAAAAACTAAAAATGTCAAAAGACTAGCATTTTGATTGGTTACTTATGGTTAAGGTTAAGGTCGTCATGGGATTAGAGAGTGTGTGTGTGTCAGTGTGTGTGTGTCAGTGAACCGCGTCTGTTTCCGTGCATGCAGCTGCTTTTGAGTGTCTCTCTGTGTTTCAGACAGTAAGCATAGTGTTGTTTGTGTGTGGGCAGTGGTTTTAGCAAATGTCTTAAAGAGAGCTGTTCCTCATCTTGCAATTTAGGGGGCAAGAAAATCTATTAATAGGCTGCTTCTTGTCCCACTTGGCAACAGACGGGGAACCAAAGTAAAATAGCGAGGAAGCGAGGAGGTCAGAGTGTAGAAGCGGAACATCAAACTAAAGCACAGCGGCCTTCCGTCCGCGGCGTCCCCAGCTGCGGCTCCCCATAAGGCACCGGCGGCTTCACCATGGTAACCGGCCACGGAGTGGTGGGCCGCAGTCGTGACGTCTCTGTGGCGAGAGCTCCTCATGTCTAAGCACCCTACACTACCCCTCCCCCCCATTTAATAACCTGGTTTAGTGCCCGAACGGGATGCATGTGGAGTTTTGGCTGTGATTATGTTGACATTACGTTGTGCTGGGCTTGGCCGGCATCTAATTTTTCATACCGTCATACTGTCCAGACATGATTCTGCGGGTTTGCGGTATTTTGACGGTATCTCCGAAAACAGCACTAATCCCGCATTGTGAAATCTTACCAATAATTTACTGAGTTACTTAGCTACTTAGGTCTGATCTATTTCAGCCGCAGTGTTATATCAAGAAGACGTGTTACCCCCCCTTTCCCCCACTTGGCTAATTTTGTCACCAAGATATATAAAATATATGTGGTATTACCGAAATACCACCCAAACTGGCGTTGTGTCTTCATATCGAAGATCCTGGTGGTATTAAATTTGGTTAAAGTGAGACCCAAACTTTGCCACGCAAATTGAAGGAAATTAGAGATGCACCAATATGTCAGCCAAGGACCGGAATCGGCTGATTCTCAGCGTGCTCGGCCTGGACCGGAGACCGGCCGGTCAGTCTCATGTATCTCCGATACTGAACCGATCCATTTTACACACGACAGGTCATACGCACAGCGATGCAGGCAATAGCTTCACAACCGCATGATAACATGTCATTAGTGTAGAAATTTTTCACTGAGTGAAGACGACACAAAGACTGAAATTTGTAATGAACATAAACCCAAAGTAAACTATGAGGCAACCACCACGAAAACATGGTGAAACATCAGAGGTAAACTTTAAACTGATTAAACTGATTATTAAACCCTGAAAAGGAATGATCATTAAAATTGCAAACCTAGCTAAGATTTTTTTCTATGACAGTAAAAACATCTTAGCGAAACTTTAACCCCCTATGCTATAATGTCCGTACAGTATGAAGATATGAAAAAACCTGATCTTAATCTAGTTTACTAGCGATGTAAGAAGTGTATGTGCATAACATAGCATGTACAGTATGGTACACTTCAGTTTTTTTGGAGGTTTGTAACCTATGGATTATTTTGTTTTAAGAGAGGAAGGTCAGTGTTGTGTTTTCTGGTGAATTTAAACATACTGGAAAATGACACAAGTAACTCACATTTGTTTTGTTATTTAAATGTGTTATCCTGCTGTTGTTTGGTAAAGTAAAATAAGTCAGATAAAGTTGGGTATATAGCAGCTCATTTTCTGTTAATTGTTATTTGTACCTCTTTCCAGTCACAGAGCACTTTAATTTTGAGATTTGTTTAAGTGAGAACAGATCCTGTAACTTAGTGCAGTTTGAGGAAAGCCGTTTAACAATTTCTTTTATTGTGAAAATAACATTTTGCATTGAAGAAAAGTTGATTTTTGTTTGTATATGCTGTCAATTATATTTATAAGAAGGAAAATCGTAATCAGCAAAAATGGGTATGAGCTAGGGGTCACACTTGCAAAAAAAATCGGAAATCTGAATCGGCCAAGAAAATTGCAATAGGTGCATCTTCCAAGGAAATTGGTGCTTAAACTGCCCAAATAACGATTTTTGTAGCTTTCCTTGGATTAAGCGAAGCTGTGCTCAGTCTGTTAGTCTGGTTATAAGCTGTTGTGTTTCCCGGATCATGTTTTCTCAATAGAGTTTGAAACCAACCACTTATCTGCAAATAGACCCGTGGTAAACCCATGGAAGATCTACTGCCGATCTTCTGTTAGGTGTTGGTGTGAAATATCATAGAAGATTTAAGAAAAGTCATGTTCCACATTGTAGCATCCTCTGAGAAAATCTGTGCAAAGAGGGTTTCAGTTCACGTCCCGCCTTGTTCTCAGCGCGATATGTCACCTTGTAATTAGATCCCTGACGTTGTATTAACGACCAGCTGGAAAAGTGTGTGTTTGAGTCTTGCTTGCCTGAAGAGCAACATTAGAATGAGGAAACAGGCCCGGAGAGAGCTGCAGCCACTGTTTAAGTTGACACAGCTGTGCGGCAGGATGTTAGATCGAAGCCTGCCTTTCTGTTTGCAGTTCTGCCTCCAGAGCGCATATTTCCTCTGCTAAAAATAGGCCAGCTATAGGCCCTATGTGTTCCTGTTGTTCTAAGCAGCGCTTCCATGTTCATGCTATATTTGTAGATGAATGGGATGGAAGGAAAATGCGCTCCTGTTTCTTGTTTACAGTCAGAGCCTCTCGGCCCGTTTTAGCTCCAGGTTTGTGTTTGGTCCTACTGGAGAGTCTGGCTTAGATTTTGTTGGGTTCTTTTGCATAGTTAGGGCAACCCGGCAAATGGAGAGCTGCTTATTTGTACAACGAAGTCAGTCAAGCTACCATCCACATGTCTTTGAGTGCGGGAGTTCTTTAACGATTCCATGTAATTGGAGCGTTCGCTGCCTCTGTGTTTGATCAGAAGGTGTTGACTGCCTTCTTGTGGGTGTCATCACATGGTTGTGTGTGTGACGTGTGTACTCTCTGTATATGTGTTTCAACAATGATCCAATGGCCTGGGACAGAGTTTGATATTAGCGGGATGAATGAATCCAAATTGGTTATTAGGGGGTACACACCTCCCCCGCCCGCCCCTTCCCCCTGGTTCCATTGTCTCTGTTTATGCCCCGTCCTCATTGGGGGAGTCTCGGTTTTTGGGAAAATGGTCGACTTTGAAATGGCTGTTTGTGGCAGCTGCGTGTGCGATCCCTGGTAATGGCCTTCCTCTCTCGCCTCACCATTTACCTTCTCTCCCTTCTCCCGAGCGTGAAATTGTCGTTGGGGTGCAGTTGATCTTGGCAGAGCTTCCTGTAGATAAACGCGGGGGGGGGGGGGGGGGGGGGGGGGGGGGGGGGTATGGGCGAAGAGGAGTGGGGAATGCGATGTCCCCATGGCTGACACGTTTTAACGCGTTTTAACAGCTCACTAGGAAAATCTAGTTGTGACTTGCATAGCCTTTGCTAACAACAGAAAAAACAGATACTAATTACAGATAGAAAAATATTCCATCATCTGTTTTGTCACTCCCGAGTGCATGACATTTATTTTGTTGCATGGTCTGACTGTTATGTGTGTTCTTCTGTAAAAATCACCAATCATTTTTGGGTCCAACCCTGTTCACTGTTCATTTTACCTGCAAATATCTCTGCATTTAATATGTCAAGGGTTTTGTAAATAGAATATCCTGATTTTGTCATCTATAAATTATCCATAGCGACTGATGTGTGTAACTGTGCATCACTGAAATGGGGTTCAGATGCAGCACATCTGTCATACTCATGCTGAGATGTCATTGGAGGGAGCCTCGACGTTCACCCAGCAAATTGCACGTTTCTGATTGGTTGGCTCGTCATTTCTTATTGGCTGGAGCGTCTGTAGTTCATGACGGTGGCCAGTCGACAGATGGAGAAAACGTTGAAGGCACATCTGTGTGTCTTGAATCTGGGTTGAGCTGCAGTCTTTTATGAGCCTCAACATTTAATTTGTTTAGCAGATCCAAAGCAACATATGTTTTTATGAATTTTTTGGGGAAAGCAGGATCAGATAGTGCCTGGACCAATTGGAGATTTAGGGCTTGCTGGTTTGTTCTGCCAACCTTGGGACTTGAACCTGTGACCTAACTACAACCACAGTGTTTTACCACATAGGCTACACCCCCCATATAATCTCAGCCTCACCTTTCGGGGGTGGGGGATCCCACATGCCATTCACAGTCAACACATTCTGATTCATTGGGCCCTCAGTCCCCAACCTTATACCAAACCGCGTCCCTTAGTCCGTCCCCAGTTGCAGGGATTCAAGGCAGAATGATAATGTCTAAATCACATCGAATCCCTGTGCTAATCGCTTTATTGCACACATCACTTGACACTTGGTCAACGCGAGCGAGTAAAAAAACTCGTGCGCAGTCAGCGATGAAGTCGTGCAAATAAAACTAAAACCCAACAAAGTCAGAAGTGACAAGAAATGGCAACACATGGTACTGTACTGATAAATAATGTGCAAACTGAAACAAAAAATGTAATAAAAACAGCGAACGCCCACATGAGTACAGGCGGCGGATTTGTGTGGCAGGACGGCTCCTATAGGCCACTGCTTCACCTTCGTGACCCGGTTACTGTTACCCTGGTAATTACGCCACGTTCTGTCTTCCTTGCAGACAAGCATAAAGGAAGGGCTACTGCTCAAACAGACCAGCTCCTTCCAGCGGTGGAAGAAGCGATACTTTAAGCTGCGGGGGAGGACGCTGTACTATGCCAAGGATGCCAAGGTAAGCCAGTCTGGGTGTGGGGGGGTGCAGCTGAGGGCAGGGCCGGGTAGAGGCAGCTGGGGAATCGCTGTCGTCGATGATGTCGATGAGCCTGGCTGGCCCGTAGAACTCGTACCGCCCCGATACAGAGTCCCAAGACGGAGTTTTAACGTCACGGTTTCTGTGAAGACCAGCCTCTGCTCCCATGGAGAGCGCAGTAAGGGGGGAGGGGGCGGCTTCTTCAGACACTGCCATCTAGCGACGAGCCCTGAGTACTGCGCCGGCCCTAACGCCCCCCCATGTACTTGCACTGTCGCAGGGGGGTGGCGTGCTGGCCCGTTGGCAGGAGAGAGCGCACCGGGCGTCCCGGAGCAGGGTTTTCTGGAGGGCACTCTCCATGTGCTGGACCGGGCCTCGCCGTGCCCCCCCCTCTCTGGGCGCCGGTGGATCAGAGGAAGGTTTGGTAACAGGCCGGGTCAGCAGCAGCAGCCGTACCGGCAGCGGCGGACTCCCGCCGTCTGGCTTCAGGGGGGCATCTGCTTATCCTCACCACGTCGCTTCAAGTCCACGGCTGGCATCGCCCTCTCCCCCTCCCCCGCCCCCACCCCCCGGGGGACGCCAGTTCTCAGCATTGCTTCTCATTCGCCATGACGGAGAATGGCCCCCCCTCCCTGCTGTCAAACAGACCCCGGCGATGCCAATCACGAGTGTCCTGTCCCGCGTCCGTCCGTACGTCCGTCCGTACGTTTGTGCCTCAGTACTTCCAGCATATGTCTCCCTCCTGAATTAAGGGGGCCTGTTGGGGGGGAGGGGGGGGCAGGAAGGAACACTCCTTTTTGCCATTACATCTCCAAGGGGAGGGACTTCATTCCACGGCCTCGTCCTCCCCGCATAGTGCTCTTCAGGTGTGGACAGAGCAGCCGGCTCTGCGTGTCATGTGATCGCTGCGTGTCATGTGATCGCTGCGTGTCATGTGAATTTTCCAACATTCCAGTACTTCTCCCTCCCTTCAAACCCTCTCCTTCTTTGCACTTTTGCCCACTGGGTTGAAATTCTCTTGTCTCATTTTAAGACGTGGTACCTCAATTCACTGGTCCCCATTTGTACGGGATACTGGGATCCTTCTCGAACAATGATGTCTTCAGCGTTTCTCAAAAAAAGAGAGAGATCTTTTGCTGAAGAATCTGCTGAAGATTCTCCAGGGTGCGGCGTAGGTGGTACAGAAAAAATCCTTCTTCCACATTTACGCTGCGGATTTTTACTGTACAGTTGACTCAGATTTCCAGGACACTTTTAGCACCGTGTAGGATGAAAGAGTCTTGCTTTCCTGCTATTATAGGGTTGTAGAACTGGCCCCAAGTCGTGCATTCACGATTTTTTCTGTATGATAAACAAGCTAGAATGATTCCTCAGAAAACTTGTACGAAAGTTACTGTTTATTACAGCTGGCACTGAAACAAAATTGATTAGAAAGAAGCTGTGAGTTTTCTGACGAAAGTTGCCCCTGCTTCAGGCTGAGGCCTAGTTTCCACATCTGATTAGTAGTACTGAGAAAGAGCTATGGGTCTTCCTGGACCACAGAGTCTGTGTGTGACGTCATGCCTAGGGGGACAAATCAGTCTGTTCTGGCAGGGGATCCTCCTCAGGCTCTAGAAAAGGTGGCTACCCCCGTTAGACCATGCAACTTGTAATAACCCAATACAGTCACCCCCCCACACCACTGCCGCTACCTCCTTTTAAATGCACCAGATGAGATTTGATTTCCCAAAATGCACTGCTCCCCATATGGATATAGATGTGAGAAATGCTGCAGGAAAAGATCCAAGGTTCATTATATTCAAAAATCAGTTAGTTCAACTGAGAAATGGCTTAAAACCCGGAATTCTGAGAAGGTTCAATATCACAACTTAATTGTAGTAAGGATCTTTAAAATATTAGTGATAGTATCAGAGCTTAAATGCAAAAATGGATTTTTATGTAGGTTTTTCAAGTTAGGGTTGCGGGTTGAGGTCCTTCAGGCAAACAGCCATTTAGGTCCAGCTGTGACAGTGGTGCATCTCCGCCCAGAGCCCAGCGTCCAGCTCTCGCAGCCACGCAGAGCACCAGGGCCTCGGGGAGGCGGGGTGGGGTGGGAATCATCAGCATGGCATCCATGGTGAGCCGCCGCTTGGGGAAGGTGCGCCATGCGGAACGCATGCACTCGCATTTGGGGCATTTGTCCGGTCTGAGGGGAAGAGCCTATTGCATGTCTGTGTATATCTTAAGATAACAAAAGTTTGTTACATCTTTGTGATACTGCACAGGGATGCACGTAACTGGTAAGCAAGTACGCATTCACTATGCATGGCAATTGCGTACTTATTTCATGTGCATTTGCGCTGTTGCGACAAGGAATTACCAGCATTTTAACCTTTATACCGCGAATGAAATATGCATTATCAGTAAAGAGGTTAAAATGCATAGTAATTTCTTAGCATAACAGCGCAAATGTACATGAAATGAGTATGCATTTGCGCTGTTATGACAAGAAATTGCCATGCGTATCACTTTATGCAGCAAATGCATACTTGTGTACCAGTTATGCGCATCCTTGATAATGTAAGACGCAGAGAATCTCCGGAGAAGATTTTTCTGGGCAGATTCCTTCCTCGCCATGTTTTTGATGCAGGTTGGCAGCAGCCGTGCTGTGCATGCATCTGCGATCGCCGCTTTTTACCACGAACCTCTGTCCTCTCTCTCCCCCCCCCCCCCCCCCCCCCCCCCCCCCCCCCCCCCCCCCCCCCCCCCCATCCCGTTCCACAGTCCCTCATTTTCGACGAAGTGGATCTGTCTGACGCCAGCGTGGCGGAATCGAGCACCAAGAATGTCAACAACAGCTTCACGGTAAGTGGCCCGTCCTGTTAATTGTGCCGTATTAATGAGGCGCGTGTGAGTCACCGCTGAAAGACTGCACGGGACTGCAGACCACCCCACGCCAGGAATGGAAACACACTCCAAAGCGATGTATATTAGACTCACAGAGTTATGAAAGGGGCAGGCTATGCCTTTCATAGGGGCGTCTGATTATAATGAAATTGAATGACAGCACACTATTTAAACTAATCAGTGTAGGTTTATTTGGGGGGGGGGGGAGTTAAAGAAAAATTCCGACAAGCTGAAGCCCCCACAAACCAGCCATAGCGACCCCCCTGGTTTTATCCCTTAACAAGTAAAAAAAAAAAAAAAACATAATGACATGAACTTAATATGCGGCAGCAGCCTCAAACCTGAAAGTGAGCAGATTTCTAAAGAATACGGGGTGACCTTGATGCGTGTGTCACGCGGCAGCCTGCAGACGTGCCAAGAAGCCCTTGACTGGCTCCGCTTCGCTTTGTGACTCACATAGGCAGACCCGCCTGAGGGTTTCCCTTCTCCATAACCCCCCCCCCCCCCAAATAAACCTACACTGATTAGTTTAAATAGTGTGCTGTCATTCAATTTCATTATAATCAGACGCCCCTATGAAAGGCATAGCCTGCCCCTTTCATAACTCTGTGAGTCTAATATACATCGCTTTGGAGTGTGTTTCCATTCCTGGCGT